GAAGGAATTATAGTCAACTATCTCATCTCCGCATTGTTAAAATAGCAAAAAATGTCTGACTATCATACTGGGTAATTTGACTTCTCAAGCAACTTGAAGCATCAATACCGACACTTTTTAAGTAAAAATGAAAGTAAAAGCAATATATCGTTGAAAATCAGTTTTTGTAATCCAGCGGATCAAACGTGAAATTGGAATTTTGTAAGTTAAGCTGCTATTTAAGGCGTATTTTACGATCTGAATGCAAAAAATGAAAGAAACGAGACCAATTTTTTTATTTTAAATTTGCGCCATGATGGTCTCAATTGATTTCCACAAATAGAAATGGGAACAATTTGCATTACTATGGTTGATTGGGATAACTGAAAGGAGTGCTATAATTTTAGTACGTATGATCGAATCCCCTCCAATCATCCCCACCCACTCCCCTTAAATATTTATTTGTTTATATCAAATGGCAGGCTTTATGATAGTTATCATTAGGCCTTTAGTTGACTTCAGGCTTCACAGAGGGAGAGGTACATCAATTCGAAAAAAGTCGAGAGGGGGGGGGGTAAACAGAAGAGTGTTTTAAAGATGTAAAAGAGACAGACATTAAGATAGGTGAAAGGTGAGGTGAGTACTGTGGAAGTGGTCGAATATGACATATAGTGGGGTCATGATAGCTTGATCGCATAAGTCAACTGCAGGTAAATATACTTTTTTGCCGCATGAGTATACGTTGCCCAGGGTGCACCACGTAGAGGTAAGTCTATCGCACACCTCCCCTCTTGAATCTGTATATATTGTAAATTCTAACATTGACTGAACCCTATTTGATTACATACGCACAAATTAAGAGCAAAATACGAGAATATTCTGCGTTAGAGGTACACTTTTTACGCTTCGAATGCAAGAACCAAGCTATTTTTTCCCCATAATCACATTTAAGACAGTGAATTCGATCTAATTTTCTTTCAATAGCTAAAAATAAATGCTTTAAGCGTTTCCCCTCAATTGCCAGAACTATTACGCATGAGAAACTCTGCCCCATTAGCGTGAAGATAAAGGCACAGATCTTTAAGTATAAGGTTAACTATTTCGCACTTCCAATGCGTATAATTTTAAGTTATCCATGTTCTAGAAAAAACGACTCTAAATAAATAATTCTGAAATTGATTATGCCATTGATTTATGTTGGGTTTCCATTGAAATAACTTTAAATTGTAAAATTTACAACCTAGTCACACAATGTTTGAACTGAGTATGCTCTTAAAGATCCATCAGAGATTAAATTTTATGATGTGAATCCGGGGTGTGCGATAAACTTACCTCCACGTGGTGCACCCTGGGCAACGTATACCCATACGGCAAAAAAGTCTATCAACCGGCAGTTGACTTCTCACTTCAAACTACAATAACCCCACTGGATGTCATATTTTACCACTTCCACAGTAATCATCCTACCTTTTCTCTGCCTTTGTGTCTGTCTGTCTCCTTTACATCTGTGAATCACTTTTCCCCCCTCTCGAATTTTCTCACTATGATGTTCCCCCCCCCCTCTGTGAAGCCCGAAGTCAGGTAAAGGGCTGATGATGACTATCAATAGCCTGCCATTTGAAATAAATATTTCAAGGTTTAGATCGATCAATAATACCAGATGGATAAACCGGAACGAAACCTGTGCATATGTGTGTATGTATATACGCGCGGTATACGGGCTCCGTGTCGGAACATAAACTCAACTCGCTTTAAGACACAGTGACTTGAGCGTGGTTGACCTCCACGCTGCACATCATGTGCACTAGACCAGATGTGTTCTATGTGTGGCCTTCAGTTCTAAAAACGTTTCAGAGGGCCATTATTTAGTGTAGTGATTATGAAAAATAAAAAGTGAAGACAAACATTTAAATGAATTGAGGATACAAATGACGAGAAATATCATCGGCGTCAACGCATCACAAAACGTTTGATTAGGCTTTAGAATTTAAAGTTTACTATTTCCTCCAGTATTTTCTTCCGCAATTCAGGTGCAATAATTCTGACAATTTGATTACACTTTAATTTTACTTCATACGTGCATTCATATGTTCTTATAATTAACCATGAAAATAAGTAAACAATATTGCAATGATTCAATGTACATTTAAGATTATTTGGAATTTATAGAAATATATTTCTACTGAAATAATTAAGTAGAATGTTAGTATTTTCTCACCGATTCCAAACTTCATTTTCCTTTTGGCTTAAATAGCAGCCCAAAACGAATTGTCCTTAATGAGTTGTGCGTTAGCATTTACTATAGTAAATAATGAGATGCCAAAAGCCACGAATTTTCCAATTTCTGGTCTATCTGAATCGAAGGAGGTGGTAAACCCCTTGAACACTAACAAATGCATTATGTTTCTAGTCTGGATGATGGATGGAAAAAATGATCATCGAATAAACCTCAAATTTGCATTATTAATTATTTTTCTGCTTATTTTAATGACTTCAGCAAGTAATTATTTATAAATTATATATTATATGATGGTTGCATTATGGAGTAGATTCCATTCAAAATAAGTGGCGATTTCTTCAATTTGATACTAATCATCTTCAAATTTATTTATTGTCTGAATATTAAACGAAGGCGTGGTACTCGTCAGGGCCATCGAATTAGGAAAATCAGATATTAACCAAGCTCCATCGCCTGTTCATAATTTCAAATTTGATGAACTATTTCAACAATATACATAAATAATCTGTCTATGAAATCAAATAATGAGGCTAGAGTGGACTAGCTGAGCTATCACTCAACTCACTTCCTCAGATCCGATGTGTACGATAGACTTACCTACACATGGTGCACCCTGGGCAACGTATATTCATACGGCAAAAAGTATATTGATCGGCAGTTGACTTCTCACTTCAAACTACCATCACCTCACTCTATGCCATATTCGACTATTTCCGCAGTACTCTCACTCACTGTGTCATATTCGACTACTTCCACAGTACTCACCTCACCTACAGTTGACTTCTCACTTCAAACTACCATGACCCCACTGTACGGTAGTTGACTTCTGACTTCAAAGACAAAAAAGTCTATTGATCGGCAGTTGACTTCTGACTTGCAAAAAGTCTATTGATCGGCAGTTGACTTCTGACTTCAAACTACCATCACCCCACTCTATATCATATTCGACTATTTTTACAGTACTCACCTCACCTTTGTCCATATTCGACCATTTCACAGTACTCACCTCACCTTTTTTCTTAAATTCGACCACTTCAACAGTACTCATCTTACCTTTTCTCTTCGACTTCTCACTTCAAACTACCATCACCCCACTGTATGTCAAATTCGACCCCTTCCACAGTACTCACCTCACCTTTGCTCTACTGTCGACTTCTTCCACAGTACTAACCTCACCTTTTTTCTACCTATTTCTCACTTCAAACTACCATCACCCCACTGTATGTCATATACCTCTGACTTCAAACTACCATCACCCCACTGTATGTCATATTTCACCACTTCCACAGTACTCACCTCGCCTTTTTTCTACCTTCAGTTGACTCTAGCTACCATGACCCACTGTATGGCATATTAGTCTACTTCCACAGTACTCACCTCACCTTTTTTCTACCTCTGAGTCTGTATACTTCCATAGTACTCACCTCACCTTTTTTCTACATTTGTATCTTCCACAGTACTCACCTCACCTTTTTCCTACCTTTTCTAAGCCTCCACAGTACTCATCTTACCTTTTTCTCTACCTTCGTGTAACACAGTACTCACCTCACCTTTGTTCTACCTTTGTGTCTGTTTAAACTACCATGACCCCACTGTATGTCATATTCGACCCCTTTCACAGTACACACCTCACCTTTTTTCTACCATTGTCTCTCTACAGTATTCACCTCACCTTTGTTCTATCTTTGTGTTTGTCTCTTCCAGTACTCACCTCACCTTTTTTCTACCATTGTCTCTCTACAGTATTCACCTCACCTTTGTTCTATCTTTGTGTTTGTCTCTTGCAGTACTCACCTCACCTTTGTTCTACCTTTGTCTTTTACATCTTTGAAACACTCTTCTATCCCCGCCTCTCGTCTTTTTTCACTTTGATGTTCCTTCCCCTCCGTGAAGTCTGAAGTCAACTATAGGGCTAATGATAACCATCAAGACGCCTGCCATTTGATATAAATAAATAAAAGAGTGTTAGTTCTTGAATATGCATGACTGTGTAGATCACGTAGAGCAGCTGAGTATTGGAAGATGATTAGTTAAACGGATGATGAAAACACAGAAATGTCAAAACAGGTAGCCACCAAACATCAGTTTTATGAGAGCCTATGTATAATGTCATATATTTTCATGGAATTATTTCATTATCTTTTAAAAATCGATATTAGCAAAGCTCAAATGTTTGTTAAAATATACTTAAAAATAGATACTTCTTACATATCTTTAAAAGTGGTAAAACGATGTGGATAAAATCTCACCTCATCTTCCCGTTTAGGTCAATTTTGTGATTAGCTTTCGTATGTAAAAGAGATTTGAGTTAACTCATATTAGGCGAAATCTTTTTTGGCTAAATTAAATCCATCACGACTGTTTATGGAGCATTTGCATTCAAAAGAACGCAACGGGCAATTTTCTAAAAACTCAGCTTTTCGAACAGCCTCAATAGCACCGACTCTTATCAAATGCAAGCAGGCAAAATCAATCACTTCAAACTCAAAGGTGATCCGCCAATTGGAAAACTAGTTTTAGCAGTAGATGAGTGATTCATGAAATCATCTCATGGGCAGCAGACAACAATAAGGCAAGACCAGGTAATTAGATTTTGAATTCAGAAAAACCAATTGACATAATGTGATGAGAGCCACGGTGATATGAGGTTAACTGAGCTCCTTGACTATCACTTCACTGCCAATGTTCCTTCATAAAACCCAAGTACCTTGGACTCCTCCTCGTGATTAGAAATCAACAAAATATATTTTAAACCTAAAAATAAAATATCAAGTAAGAAAATCTACAATTTAGGCATCCAGGAGTAAGAGGGGCAGAAATTTTGTGGAGTTTGACATGAATCAGCATTGTTGCTATGAATAAGTGCTATCAACTGTTTGATATAGGCAATAGCTCCAAGAAGTGTTCTATGCTTCGTCAACTTTGTGTCCTGTGGAACGTGAGGAAGAAGTGCTCGAAGTTCAGTATAGGCCACGTTAAGTGCATCAGTTCGTCTACGATCCAACTCGCGTTGAAGAGTTCTCCTAGATTCCCTTGATTTATCTTCAAATTCACCCTTCTGATTCTCCTTATCGAGTCTCTTGCATCCATTATTTGCATTCCAGATAATCTAAAACTCAAAGCACAAATTTCCTGGAATAAAACAACCATGGTGATAAAGACATCAGAAGTAGAAATCTGTACTTTACTTTATTCTGCCATCAAATGAATTCAAAATACGCATTTACTCAAGTTAAAATCGAAATTGAAGGTAACCACCTTCAGTGCTCATCTCGAATTGATTTGGATGTTCCAAGAATATGACTGGGCAGGAAAGTTTTGTTTGTTATTCAATAGGAATTGCGACTAGAGCCCTCGAGATGTACAGGCTTTGAGTAAAAAATTCCCCCAATTTTACTCTCAAGACGCCTGCCATTTGATATAAATAAATAAACTCTCTCTGCGATAGACCTACCTCCACGTGGTGCATCCTGGGACAACGTATACTCATACGGCAAAACAAGTCTATCAACCGGCAGTTGACTTCTGACTCCAAACCACCATCACCCCACTGCATGTCATATTCGGCTACATCTGTAGTACTCACCTCACCTTTTTTCTACCTTTGTCTGTCTCTTTTGCATCTTTGAAACGCTCTTCTCTCCCATCCCCCTCTCGGCTTTTTTCACTGTGATGTTCCTTCCCCTCTGTGGAGTCTGAAGTCAACTAAAGTGCTAATGATAACTATCAAGATGCCTGCTATTTTATATAAATAAATAAACTCTCTACCCAAAATAAGCACGGCATTGAAAGATGGCAAAATTGTATCTAGTTACGGCCTTCCCAAAAAATATGGTC